AGTTCTTTCTCCTGTCTTTTGTCCATGTATCTGTCTCCAGACCACACAACATAGCTGGTCTCACCACTGTCCTGTAAACTTTTCTTTTGACCCTTTGGTCGCAAATCAATCCTGAAAGTTTTCTCCATCCACTCCATCCTGCCAGGACTGTCTTTTTCATCTCTTTACCACACTCCTTATTTTCCTGGACAATGGACCCCAATTACTTGAAGTCCTACATCTTTTGTGACCCAGATAATAAACAGACTCTGGACTAGATACGTTCCGGATCTAGTGTAGGCTCCAGAACGGATCATCAAAACAGACCAGGGTCTGAGTCCACTTGCACACCAGAATGGATCTGGAACAGATAAGAATCACAGATCTGGATCAGATCTGGCCCAGACCCTATCTGGATCCACTCATTAAGTGACACATTTGGCCCGGATCCATTTTGGATCCATTCAAAAATACATTATATGGTCCAAATCCGTTTTGGATACGTTCTTAGAACACATCATCCATCCCAGATCCGCTTTGGATCCGTTCATAGAACACATAATCCGGCCCAGATCTGTTGTGGATCCGTTCATAGAACACCTCATCCGGCCCAGATCCATTTTGGACCCGTTCATAGAACACATCATCAGGCCTGGATCTGGTTTTGACCCATTTATGATATTCATATCGGAGGTGGACTCATTTGGTTCAGAACCTTTATTTGTCGTGATTAATTTAACAAAAGTAGATATAGATAAAACTTGGCTTACCAGCTACAAAATACTTCATAAAAATCCCACCAGTTTAACCTTAAACACATGAAAATGATTTTGAAGCTGCAAAATACCTAAAATTGGGTTATTTTGAGTAAATTTACAGTTTTGAGGCTGCACAGTGGCACAGTTGGTAGCACTAGCTACTGTATGTTTACATGGGCATAAGTAGTCGGATCAAACGGCCATTCGGAATAAAAACGAGTCATGTAAACACTCCGTTCAGGTTATTTTTTTGTTTATTCAGCGTGATCCAAAATAATTAGTGATCAGAACAAAACAGGTGGTTTACGCCAATTCCTAACCAGAACGGTACGCATGTAAATGCTTGATCTGTTCGTTTTTATCTGATGGTGAAAAACTGACCTGTCTATGCATGTGTGACTGTCATTTCCATCTGGGTAATGCTAATAATATTAGCATGTCAGGAGAAGCAAAACTGGTCGTGAGCGACACAACATTTCTACTTGAAACTTTTAAAGAGCTCAAAATGATTTGTATTACCTGTAGCCTGTGGCTCTTTCAATCAATTCTTTGGGTTTCAATTTGGTATAATTTACTGATATCACTTGAACCTCCTCTCCTCGATGTCTCTCACCCTTAGGGGTAGGTGCGGGGGTTAAGATTACTTCCTATGGTGGTGTGGAAGATATAAATTGAATCTGTATAATCCCCAAGGGGTCTGTTCCAGACACTTCTGACCCAGTCAGGAAGGTATACTGTTGGACCCATGCTGAAAGCCAGCTTGTTCCAGTTCACGTGAAGTACTCGGGAGATCCAGACAGCCCAGTGAGTGAGCGCGCCACTAGGTTTCCAGTTGGGCTATAATCTCTTTGGAAATTAACCTTATCCCACCATCCTCTAGTCTACCTACTAAGGGATCCTCGGGAGGGAACCCATTGCCCTGTGTACAGGGTAATCTCTTCCCAATTACACAATGGGGTAAATGGTCGACCTCAACATTCCCACGGCGGGTCAAGTAAACATGGGAACTTGACCACTGCAAACAGGGGATGTTGCTGTCATTATGCGCGGATCAATACAAATATATAAATTCACTCCCCAGTACCACTGTCTATATTCCCCACAGTCAATTACATTACACAAATCAAACTGAAAGCGGATGAGTTAATCTGGTATCTTAACACCCCTATTTTCCAAGGACCGCATGGCAAATTCTGTATATCTCTTTTTGCTCTGGGTTTCTTGGCGCATGATCCTTCTCCTGAAAACATGCAGAAATTTTCACACAAGAAAATCACACCACACACTATTTCTGCTAAGAAACCCAGGCCAAGGGTGGTTTTCCAGGGGTTCTGAAAAAGCATAATGTCTAAGCTAAAGGACGATCAAATTGATTTATTAGCTTGCTCCTACTCTATTACCTTATGTCAGTTAAACCTTATTCTATTTTATTCAAGGTGACTACACTCACTCATCTCCTGCCTGCAAAAGTAAAAGACAATGAAATTTGCATCATTTGGCAAGTCTGCGCTTCAATGGGTTGGGAGGCCCTCCCAGGTGAAGGGTCCTTAGTTGCTCATCGGTTTCAGATTCCACTAGGACTGTGGAGTTCTCTTTGTGTGTGCTTAAGAAAGTCTCTGTGTCAGTTTGTTTTGATTTTCTAATTGCTTATGTGTGCATCTGTGTCAGTGTGTCCTGGTTATTGTGTTAAGGGTTCAGCTTGTTCCCAGCCTGCTTGTCCTGAGTCTCTTCTGGATTTGGTTCAGGCTCTCTCACCAGGTCACTTCCGACCTGACCAGGTTTGGGCACCAGGTCACTTTCGACCTGTCTCAAGGATCGATTGGGTTCCTCTGCCTCCGTGCACTGACTTCATTGGTACAAGGTCTCACTTTCCCCTTCAGTCGGACTGAGGTCCTCTCTACCATCTGGTATGAACCGGTCCACTTTGGTTCGGCCCACTTCCTCTTGATTACCTTCAAGAGCACCCAGTCGGGGGTGGGTGCTTCGATCACCTTATCTGGACCTCTAGATTTGGCCACCTGGCAAGAAAAGCTGGACACCAAAGATTTGAGTTTGTTAAAATACACTTTATGGCCTATTTGATTGCTTTCATCTGTGGAGATCTCCAACCTCTTTTGTGGGCCTAGCCTGTCTGTGGCTAACTCATAGGGAGTAAAGCCTGTTCCCTGATTTAGGGAAGCCCTAATAGTCATTAATGCTACAGGTAACACATCTACCGAATTCATTTTTGTCTGCATGCCGATTTTGCCCAATTTCTGTTTTAGGCTCTGGTTCATCCATTCTATTTTTCCTTGAGATTGAGG